TTTGGGTTTTTTCTTTTAAGATTTTATTTTTAAGTAATCCCTATGCCCAGCATGGGGCTCGAACTTGCAACCCTGAGATCAAGAGTCACAAGCTCCACTGACTGAGCCAGTCGCCCCCGCAGCCAGTTTTCATATTAAGCCCCGACAGGCTGTGAGCTGCTGTCTTCATTTTCATACTTCGTAAGTCAAGGAGAAAAAGTCATAACCTCACCCTTCATTTCCTGCGTGGCCATTGTGCTGACCTTCTCTAGACAGCTTCTGGCTGTGATTGTCCGGAACGCATAGCTTGAGTACTTCAACTGGAGATCTAGCGGGAGCGTTGAGTGGCGAGTAACCAGGAGACCCCTGTGGTCCCCCTCAGAACAGCCCTGAGATGCAAGAAGTAACAGCACAGACATTGGATACAGAGCTGTGGCTTCTCAGCATCACAGAAGCGCCAAGACTGAGGTTTTAGGTCCCTGTGAGGCTGGTGGCAGCCCCCAGCTTGAGAGCCATCCAGGGGGCCTGTAATCATGTGCTGTTTTGGAGGCTGGCAGGGTCTCCTGCAGACGACCTGTGAACTAGCCCACCCCTTGCCCTTAAAAATGAAGAAATGCTTATCCCTTGATGGAAAAAGAAAACATTGGTTTCTATGGTCTGAATGTTTGTATCCCCCCAAAGTTCATACGTTGAAATCTTAACCTGCAGCATGATGGTATCAGGAGGTGCTTAGGTCACGAGGGTGGAACTCAGGGATTAGTGTCTTATTACAGAGGCTCAAGAAAGGTCCCTGTCCCTCTGACCACGTGAGGACAGGTCTGTGAACGGGGAAGCAGGCTCTCACCAGACACCCAGTCTGCCAGCATCCTGGTCTCGGGCTTCCCAGCCTCCAGAACCGTGAGAAAGAGATCCATGTGACTTACTGGCCGTCCCGTTGATGGTATTTTGTGATGGCAGCCCAAATGGACCAAGGCACTCATTTTTAACTGTTCACTTTCCTACCACCTACTTAAACTCTTACCGTGTTCCAGAATAGTTTAAAACTGACGAAAAGTACCTCTTGATGGGAGGCCAGTGGTTCTCAAGAGGACACGATTTTTCCCCAGAGGACATGAGGCAATGTCCAGAGGCATTTTTGATTAGCACACCTCGAGGGGAGGGGGTGTGAGCAGCACCTAGTGGGCAGAGGCCAGGGATGTCGCTCAACATCTCCCTAGGTACAGCCTCTTACAACACAACGTCAGTAATGAGAAAGCCCGCTCTATGCGCATCATCCCAAATGCAAAGCCTCATTATCCTTCTTTCATTTTTACAAGAACCTTGAACAATAGACCAGGACTTGAGCCATAGCCTCTTTGTTCTTCCCTTTCTCTGCGGGTGACAAGGAGGGATGGAGATTCAGGAGGGTGGGGGAGCTGGAGAAGCAGACACCCCCCCAGCCTCCCCCCCCCCCCGCGACTCACCCCCCCCCCCTGCAGAAGAGTGGAGGGGGTGGGCTGGTCCTCGGACTCTGGCTCGCCCTGCTTCCACCAGACTCACAACTGCAGGGCTGGCATTCATCTTCTCTCTCTTTGCACCCGAGTTAATAGCAGTAGCTGTGAAAAGAGGCAATGGCTTACTGATAATATTCCAGTCACTTTGGTTTCTTGTCTTAATTACCTTCCTAATTTGCACTTTTGGTGGAACACCTGGGGTGTGAGCTCCCGTCGGCAATTTTTTCCTCTGCTCCTTTTCCACCCAGCGGGTTCTTTCTACCATCTGTTGATCTTAAGTATCTGCCTTAATTCTCTTATTTATGTTCTTTCTGCGTGTGTAATTTGTCTTGGTCTCTCATTAGTTTCTCTCCCGGGTATTAGTCTACCTTCAGACAAGGTAGCAACTGCATTCCCTTTCTCCATCAGCTCTCCTTCCCCTTGCTGGGGGAACACTGCTTTGGCCACTTCCCAGGGCAGCTTGTGCTGTTGGGGCCAGGGGCTGTGTTTCCCTCCCCTAGGGCAGAGCAGAGAGGAGGGACCCCCTCGTTTTGCAAATCATCGCAGAAGGTTCCCTCACTGTTAGCCCAGGTCAGGGTGGGGGAAGAGGGACTATGCATTCACTTTGCTCCAAACCTCTTTGGGTACAGATTCAGATGCCAGCTCTAGCCCCCCCCCCCCCCCCCCCGCCACCACACCTGGGAAAAAGCCATAAGCGCAGGTGGGCAAATGGGTGGGGGTGGGGGGGAGCAGGGCACTGAGGTTCAAGGCCTGGCTCTGCTTCTCAGGGCTTGTGTCCCTTTGGGCAGATGCTTTTTCTCCTGCCTTAACTGGGTACTCACCTGCCCACCCTCCCAGAGCTACTATGAGCATTTATGCAAGTCAGCATGCTGGGACTTATACTAAATAACCAGAAGGGGTTAGTTTGCTAATTAATATAGGTCATGTGGCTCAGAGCTGTACTATCATTTACATTAAAATGACTAATTAGAGCAAAATCTTTAACAAAAGAACAGACCAACTGTTGTTTATAGTTTAGAAAAGCACATTTTTTCTCAAAGGGAGGGATATGCCCCTCTGGTGTCATAAAACAAGGCTTGGTCCCTCCCTAGCTTTTGACACCTCTCCCTGGTGGGCCAGGGGCTCTGGTGAAGTTCTTTACCTCGGAGACCCACAGTTACCCCTGAGAGTGGGTTGAGGTCTTGGCTGTGTTGGCACAAAACAAAATTGAGAACAGCAGGTTTGTAAACACTGGACTGTGATGGTAGGAGACTGGCCAGATGGAGGCATCTCAGATGTCCTCCAGCTTTCTGAGATTCAGAAGATGCATAAAAAAGGCTTCCTCCATCCTCCTAGAAAGGATGCCTGGAGCCCCCAGACATCTTCATCACAGCCTGCTCTGAAATTTAGCTCTCACCTAGGACACTCCCCCTTTCGAAAGATTGTCAGATGCATCAGGCAAAACTGGAAATGGTAAACATGCCTCCAAAGGTATCCCTGGAGTTGTGGCTTCCTCTCCACCCCCAGAGGACATTTCTGGGAGAGGTGGAAAAGAACACACAGCCATGGAGGATGAAGAGCCTGGACCTCAGAACCAGAGCCCACCTGGGCCCTCAGACCAGCTCCCCCTCACCTTTGCTCTCTGATATGGGAGCAGAGGTGATGATTGCTACCTTTGCTTTCATGTATAAGGGCTTCCAGAGCAATATGTGGCCCACAGAGGGCCACCAGCCCCCCATTTCTCAGAAGACAAAGCACAAAGATGCTAAGATCTTAGCATCAGAGTCATCTCAGAAGAAAGACTTGCTGAGTGAAGCCTCAGACTTTGCTAAAAATTTACATCAGAAGCCTTAACAATTAAGTAAAAATAAACCAGTTTTTAAAATCTTGATTTTTGAAACATCTGGTTGCTCTGGCAGTGTTGACTTGGCTGGCTACTTGGGTCCCAGAGCTTCTAGAGGCACTGTCTCAGGGGCTTCTCTGTAGTCTGCTACAGTGTATATCTTGTATGCTGGGAAGATGCTGTCGGGTTTTGGAAAGATGCCCCCCCGATCCCTAAATTCTGAATCTGACAGTGATCCAAGAGTCATGCCACATGATCTCTGGGGTTTCCTCCACCTCTAAAATCCTAGGATTCTTTATCCCATCATTTGTCATTATGAGAAATATGGGAAGATATTTGATGGAGCATCAGAATCCCAAATTCTCCAGCAGCAGCCTTCAGTGGCTATTGCTACCTAATAAGGTCCCCACAAGGGACTGATGCACAAAGGGTAAGGTGAGGCAAACAAACAAACAAACAAACAAAAGAGCCCTTTATGCCTTCGCAGGGTCTTTGGGCTCCAAACCCCATTGTGGCCTCTCGGTGAACCAGACTAGATTATAGGTGATCTCTTACCCCTTGACATGGGACAAGTCTGAGCAGCCCTTTTGTCTCTTGGTGCCTCCCAGAGTCATCATTACACTCCCAGCATCCTTGGCTGGCCCACCCCAACTAAACAGGACACATAGGACAAAAAGAAACATTTCAAAGAGACAGTAAATCCCAAAAGAAGACAAGCCCTTCTCACTCAGTAGATTTTTTCCCCCTTCCCTCTTTACAACACAAAAATTCCTTCTAGCCCCAAAAGTCCTTGGTCTTGCTTCTGACCAATCTTGGTAGTCCTCTTTCCTGTTTTGATTCAGAGGGATCTTTAAACTCTCCCATAGATATCAGAAAGTGTTGTAACATTATGGGTCTACCCCTCTGGTCCCAGGCCACTAGGACAGTTCCATTTTTTCCATAACTCTTCCCTCTTCATCTTCCAACACTGTCAAAGGACCATCATTGTCCTTTGACATTTGATCAAAGTCAGGGGCTTATTAAACTTGGCAGGCTCACTAGTCCCTCTGGAAAGGACTTGGGGAATCATCTTGCTCATCCCCAAGCTTAAGCTAGACTATAGCCACACCATCTCAGAGTAGACTGGAACAGTCTACCACTTCACGATGGCTCCTCACATGTCTGGGTAGATGTCATTGGGCCACCGCATCGGCCTTTGGACATCTTGTTACTTGAGCTAATAAAACCTTCTGTGTTTAGCTCAGGAGTCAGTCATCAAACTCTTTCTGTAAAGGGCCAGACAGTAAGTATTTTAGGTCTTTGGGCCATATGGTCTCTGTCACAACTGCTCTTCTCTGCTGATGTAGTGCAAAACCAGCCACAGACAACTTGTCAACCAATAAGCATGGCGGGGTGCCAATGAAGCTTCATTTGTGAACACTAGAATTATATAATTTTCATGTGTCATGGAATACTATTCTTTCTTTGATTTTTTTTTCCAGTTATTTAAAAATGTAACAATTGTTCTTAGCTTTCAGGCCATACCAAAATAGGAAGTGGGCTAGATTGGGCCCCAGACCATCATCGGCCAACCCCTGGTTTAAACTCCTGTTAAGTGGGTTTTCTGTTGCTGGAAGCCTGACACTGTCTCACCTGACACAGTGATAGTGATGAACCTTATTGAAAAACTGCTTCTAACCCCTCCTGCTTCTTTATGTCTGTTCCAGAGGGTCTTGCTGTCGGCGTTGGATTTGGGGCTGTAGAGAAGACAGCATCTGCAACCTTCGAGAGTGCCAGGTAAGCCAGCACCCGCTGCCCTAGAGCAGTGTGGCGCCATACCCAGTGGTGCTCTGGAAATGCTAGTTACCTGGTTGGTCACCCCCAGCCCCACAAGGCCAAGACTGGTGGAAGTGTGGGTGAGATCAGGTGAAGCTAACCTGAGAGAGGTTGCCCATCAAAAGAGCAGATTTACCCCATTTGTCAGATAAGCTATCTAATGGGTAACCACTTTGAAAACATAACACGGACATAATCACCTGCGTTCCCCCAAATCCTTTCAATGTATAAAGACCAAAGACCAAAATAAATAAATAAATAAATAACAAAGTCATCACTGATGCTCTCAACTGCCCCCTCCTTTTGAAGCCCCCCCTTTTCCTTTCAGGACACTGAAGTCTCCTGGTTCCCCCACTTTGTGTCCGTTACTTTGCATGCTCTTCTGTGGGCTTCTCATCCTCTGGCCCTTTCCGAAATGTTGATGTTGCCCAGGATCCATCTCTGGGGAACCTTCTCCATTCCCAAGACTTTATTTTCCATCTACCTGTGGGGGATGCCAACGCTGGTCTTCAGCTTAGATTGTTCTCCAGAATTATCCCTGTGGGTCTAGCTACCTTACACACATCTCTGCTTAGATGATTCTCAGGATCTCCACCCTCAGCTGATTGCCTCCACCCCCCATCATGCAAAACCTGTCCCCTCCAAAGACTTCCCCAACACTGCCTTGCCATTGGTTGACCAAACTGACCAAACCAAACTCATTGCTTTCCTTGACCCCCTCATTTCTATAGACAGTCTTCCATGGATGATCACTGCACCTTATAAATTCTTCTTCCCTTCTACCTCCCTGGCATTACACAGGGTCTACATAAGGTGACAGGCCTGGGAACACAGAGAGGCTTATCCTTTAGCCATCATGGAGGTGGGCTCTACATGGCCCCCGGAGCCCACAAAATCATGAATACTACAGCCTCCAGGCTTGTATAGAAGGCTGGAGGAGCCTTCTATCCAAGGGTGGCAGTGCCTGGTGCCTTTCGGAGACAAAGGAACAAGAAAATGAGTGGACACAGTCATTGGGTAGAGACAGCTGGGAATGGTGAGGGTGGACGTGAACCTCAGCTAGGCAGCACAGGCACCATCTAAAGGCACAATCATTTTAAAACTGTAACTCATGTTAAAGAGATGGCCTGGAGGCCACTGGTGTCTGACCCTCATGTCTAGCTCACTTCACTGCTTTCTGACCAATGCAATCTGGAAATAGACTTTCATTCCCCACAAGACACCACCTCCTTCAGCAATCAACCCTGTGTCTGTCTCCCCCAGCAACTCATTTCTCTGAGACCCCTTTTCCTGCCCTTCCCCAGTGGCTGAACCTGTGTGAGGCCTCCTTATGGCCCATCACTCCGTCTAGCTACTCCCTTAGCCGATGCGGGGCACCCACGTGTCAAGCATAGTCTCTGCCAGTCTTTAAATCCCACCGCCACGCATTAGGGGACATGTGTGCTCCTTGAAGCCCCAGACGTGCGTGTGGGCTGGCATGTTCTAAGTCAAAATTTTCCCCGTTCTCAGCTTCTCATTCCCTCCTGTCAGGCTCTCAAGTCACTCTAGCGTCATCTGTTCACATGATGTCTATTGTGAAAACCAAATGAGAGGTAGACAGCGGGGGCGGGGGGGGGGTGGACTGTATAATGTAAGAAATGTCACCAAAATCAAGGGCTAATTGTGACTCATAACACCCTGCAGACTGCTCTTTCTCCCACTGGGAGAGGGTCGGGGAGTGTGGCTGTGTCCTCGGCACAGCTGTTTTGATCTTGTCCTCACTTAGACCACAAGAAACTTCGGAGTTTGCAGGAGCTGGGGGGACAGAGCAGCCCTGAGGGGCTGCCCCGTAAGCATCCACGGGCCAGGTCCTCCCAGAGCACAAGCATTGGGCACGTTACAGCAGGTCTGTGGCCAGGAGGTGACAGCCGTGCCCCAGGCCCTGCGCTCACAGCCCGGGCTCTCAGTCTGGTGTCACCATGTCTCCTGGGACACTGAGATGTCAACTTAGATGTCTCTCTATTCTATCACCTGTACTTTCTGCTAATCTTCATAAATAATTCTGAAGAAAGTAGAGCAAAAACCTTTCCAACCCAGCTCCTCTCTTCCCTTTGACCAAACAGGCTCTCTCGGAGTTACATAAACACTCAACAGGACCCTCCAACTGGGAATGAGCTGGGGCTGCAGGCCTTGGGATATTCAGCCTCCCCAAACCCCCTGCTGAATGAGCTACTGGAGGGGGGTGGTTCTCACACCCCCACACTCTAGCCACCCCAGCCACAGCCTGCAGTGGGTCTGAGGAGGGTGGGCTCTCCCTCCAGCAGACCCTACCCTTCAGCCCACTTGCCCACCCATCAATCCATATCTAGCTCGTGATTTGGGTTCTTCCTTTCCAAATGCCTGTGATCCTACTCTGGAGCAGGGACAACACCCAGCAGCTCCCCCCCCACCCCCCGGGACCAGGTTTGTTAGCTTCCTCTGCCCTCAGCTCATGGTACAGATGAGTTTCCATAGGAGACTGGGGACCAACGGGTGGTCGAAAGGGGACAAGGGAGAAGGAGAAAGGAAGCGACAGGCTAATAATGCTGCTACGTGGGCCACAAAAGCGAAGTCATTGGATGATTAAACGCATCTCCGCGTGAAAGGAGACAGGTTGTGCTTTGTGAAATTCCAGTGCCATGTGCTGAACAAGCGGCACGCTTAAAACATGACATGGGGAGCTTGAAAATAAAGGAATGAGAAAGGATACGAGGTGTGCGTGGACCAAAAGAAAGCAGGGGATGGCAATTTTAGAATCAGACAAAACAGGCTTTGAGGCAGAAAGCCACAGAAAGAATAAAGGTCAGGACTTCACAAGGAGAGAGACAGTGCACCAGGAGGATATAATGGGCTTGCATTTGTATGCGCCTGGCAACGCTAAGTCTCAAAGGGGTTAAGAAAAATGGTCGGAATTGCAAGGGAAAAAAAGACAAACCCGCAGTCCCGGTGAGGGTTTATGATCCCCCTCTCTGGCGCTGAGCAAACAGATAAGAAGTTAACAGTGCATGTCAGGGACAGATGTAGAACCCCAACCCAGTGATGAAAAAAACCTACGTTCTTTTTTTTTTTTTTCCTACGTTCTTTTTTAAGCATGAATGCATGCGTGTTTCCCAAAATCTGTGACCTCAGTGTGACATAAGTGAAAATCACTAACGGGAAAGATAGCCAAACTATGGGTTAGTGGGCAGTGAAACCCGCAGGCACCATAAGACAGGCAGAGCGGAAGCTCCAAGGGAGGGATGCCAACCAAATCTGTATCCTTCCCTCATGTCAGGGGCGCTTCACAGAACAGGTGGTATCTCATCAGGAGCAGGGGGGTGGTCAGCTTGGGTAGGTGGAGATGACGGAGGCAGGGAGTGCTGTCAACAAGTGCCCAGGTAGGGCTCAAGGCGGAGAGATGAAGTCACCGAGGATGGAGTCCACTGGTGGTTTCTAGAAGGCACGCCTGACGGCTGGAGAAACACATCACTGAGCAAAGGGCTGGCAGTTCGGGTGGGTTCTGGTGCCGGGAAATGACCAAGCCCAAGAGGTGATTTGAACAGTGATCTGGCTCTGATGGGATCACTTGAGGGGAAGAGGTAGACAGACCAGTGGAAAGAATCCAGCCCTTGACCGAATGCGTGTTGACGGCCCTCGGCTGTGTGCCTTCACAGCTACCAGGAGGACAAGGGAGGTGGCGACAACGTGGGAATGACGGGGCGGGGGCGGGGGGCAGTGGGAGGAAGAGATTTTAAATGCAGAATGTCCAGACGGCATCTGTCAGCAGATTTGTAGGGGTGTAGAAGGGAGAAAGGAGAATTCAGGGGCAACAGGGAGACACAGGTGATCACGGGGCGCGGCGGAAGGGCCCAGAGGGAGAAAGCACGCATTTGCACGGACTTGGGAGCAGGAGTTACCTTGCATGTGCCTGAGGTACACGCGGATGAGGCTCGCTGCTGTTCACTTAGTGCAGGAGGTCAGCAAACTCTGGCCCAACACCCGGTTCTGGAAATGGCATTTTGTTAGAGCACAGCCAACCCCCGTTTGCTTTACAGATCATCTGTAGCTCCTTCTGTGCTGCGATAGCCGAGTTGGGTAATTGCCACAGAGTCGCGAGGCCGAAGGTGGAGAGTGTTTACTGTCTGGCCCTTTGCAGGCCGTCTCTAGACCCTTTGATTTAGAGGAAGACCATAATTTTAGTCCAGGCCTGTCATCAAACGCTCCAACGCCCACTTTTGACTTCTTCCTCGCGCCCTGTTTACGATGCCTCTGGAAGCGGGAGGTTCTCTCCTCACCCACATGGCATCGCAGCCACCACGGGAGAAGAGAAAGGCGCAAAGTGAATGCTCCCCGGAAGGCAGGTGGATTCTGACCTGGACTCGTGGGCGCGTGATTTGTGTATGGCTGCTGCCACCTAGTGCTGTGACGCTGTCATTTCACCTTTACGCCCCCCTACCCCCCACCCCAAGGCCCTCCTATGCTCCATCCACCCTCCCTGGATAGCTTGCCTTGCACTCTTCATCCCGAATTCAGCATCCCCACCCCTGCCCCAAATTGCAAAGAATCTCAGCAGCAAAGGGCAGCCCGTGGTTCAAGGGGAACACGACTTTGCTTCTTTCTGATCTGGTCCCGTGGCAATTTCTTCTGGTCTCACCACAGAGAAATTCTTCAGACCACACGTCCTTGGGGAGTTTGCTGCGAAAGTAGTTTTCCTTTCCCAAGCGGCATCACCTCCAAAGGACGTGTTTCCCAGAGAGGAAGCAAGCCCTCGCCTCTCCCCTGACTCCGTGGCACGCGTAATTCAAACCTGCAGGGAGAACAAGCTTACTTAGGCGGAATCGTTTCGCTTCACGTACCACTTCCGATTTAGGCTTTGACCAAGCACACACGTTGGGAGACGTCTTGGATCCTCGAACACACCCCAAATGGCAGGTGCAATGGGCTGTGTGTGGCCGAGGAGGCAG